AGCGGGTGCGTCCGAATGGCCCCCAGGGGGTGCATCCCCGAGCTGCCCTCCATCTACGAGCGGAAAATGATTTTGGGGGGGATACGCTCTGGGAACGGGGGCGAGACATCGCATGCGACGCCCCTTCCAAGACCCCCGGCGGACTGATCATGACTTGCTCAACCCCAGCGTCTCTCCTCTGCCTCGGCCCCGGAGGACGGTACCTCGCCAGGCCCCCCGACCGCAACAGACGACTGGGCCCAGGGGGGGGGGGGATTTTCCCTCCCCCGTGAGGCCATGGGCGAACAGTTTCTGGCCTGCACCAGCGCCGCGCACTGACTCCACAGCAGCGGAGGCAGAGCGCAAAACAGACGGAGACTTGCCATACTGCGCCCGCCGACCGCGCAGGCGGCAGGCTGGCTCTTCCCCCGCCTCCCCCCTCCCCCTCCTCCTCCTCCTCCTCCTCCTCCTCCGCCTCCTCCTCCTCTTCGTCTTCCTCCTCCGCCTCCTCCTCTCCATCACCTCCTCATCCTCCTCTCCTTCCTCCTCATCCAATCTCCCCCCCTCCTCCCCCCCCTCTTACTCCCCTCCCTTCCTCCTCCTCCTCCGCTCATACTACCCCACCCCCTCCCCCCATTCATCACCCCTTCCCCTCCTCCTCCCTCATCCTTCTCCTCCTTCTCCTCCTCCTCCTCGTCCTCCTCCCCCTTCTCCTCTTCCTCTCCCTCTCCTCCCCCTCCTCCTCGCTCACTGGGAACTCTTCCGAGAAGCCCGCCCGTCCTCTTGAATGGAAGGCCGCCCTGCCTCGGCACCTGCCGCCTCTCCTTGCGCGCGCTGTGCCGACGAGGGCAGGGACGCCTAGGCACCAAGCAAACAGACGTCTCAGAGGCCAGAAAACAGCCTGCGAGAAGGCGAAGTTCGGCGGCGAGCGGGGGGGGAGTGACGAGGCCTTCTCAGAAGGCTCGGAAGCTCCCCGGCCCTCTCTGCGAAGTGTTTTGAGCCTTCCCTGGAGACGCAAAACGAAAACCTCTCAGAAGACGCGAAAGCTCCTGAGAAGTCCCACGAAGGCCTGATCCTTGTCACTCTCCCCCCCTCGCTCGCCACCGAGAAGTAGATGGCTGGGAGTTCAGAGAACGAACCAAGCAGGAACCGAAACTGCACATGGTTGACCGTTTGCCCCGGAGGGGTCGGGTCCATAACTTGGCGGTTCTGTACGGCCCCCCCCAGCGCTTACGACAGCTTCCTGCTGTGGCGCCCGCCCTCGTTCCCGACCCCGCGTGAACCCAGCAAGTTTTGGATGACACTCTCTCTCTCGGCAGTCCCCTCGACCCTGCCTCTCGACCCCGCTGGAACCCAGCAAGTTTTGGAGGCCCTCGACCCCGCCTCTCGCCCGGATTCCGCGACGTGGGAGGCCCCCGGTGGGCTCCGTGTCCCGACTCCCCACGCGCGGGCCTCTGGGCGCCTCCCGCAACCTCCACGGGCCTCGGCATGCGCTCGGCACATCGGGAGCTCCATGGAAGCCCCGCACATCGGGCGCCGTCGAGCGGGGCGGGGGGCGATACAGGGGGTGGGGAAGGGGGGGGGACCTTTTCGTGCCCCTTCTGGGCGCCAAGGGGCCACTTTCGGGCCCCCTTTCTGAGGCACGACGTGTGCACTGTTCCCCAGGGTCCACTGATCCCGCCCCCCCTACGCAACGCCCGAGCAGAGGCCTCAAAGGAGGTTTCCAGAGGCCCGGCGAGGATCAGAAGCGTCCCGACAGCCTCCGATCCTCGAAGCGACCCCCCCCCCCTCAGATCCGACGTTGCGAACAAAAACTGCAACATGGCCAAAAATGGAGACAGGATTCCCAGATCGGCACCCCCCGACCAGACCCCATCTTTCTCCGTCATGTTTCGAATCGGATCGATCTGCGACGTTCCCGTGGCCAGAGACCGGGCGGAAGCGCCCTTTGCGAAACAATTGAAACGCCAGACTCTCAGGTAATTAGAGGCCCCCCAAATGAAGTCCAAATGGATGGGGTCGGTGGATCGAATATGCATCGGCGATGTATCGGCAACGTCGGGGATGCTCTGGCGCCGTCGGCGCGGAGGAAATCAGGTTCCACATCGAGCCGCATCGACGATGCGTCGTCGATGCGGGGCGATCCCCCGGCCCCGGCCCCATGTTCTTCGGCACCACTTTTTGAAGGCCTGTAGACGAAGGGCGCTCCTGACACCATCGAAGCCCCGCGCGCTGCCCCCGAAATGCATCGAGGTTGTTGCAGGTACGCCCAAGAACCATCCACTCTCGCGCAGTGTTCCGAAACTCTGTCGAGGTTGCTGCGTGGAACGACACAAGCAATCGAGGGGTCACATTGTCGCGCGCAGGGATGGGCGAGGTCAACCTCCAAACAGAGCAGCAAAGTCGTGCAGCGACAGGAACCTCCGCGCACTCTTTTATTGACGATGCTATAAGATCTATGTACGTCTCGACCTCGTGCACCGCAGACCCTGCTTCGGCCCTGGGTGTGGCGGTGACGTCGCCCCACGCCAACTGCCAGGTGACGCAGCATGCGCATCCCAGGCCTGTGGCGCTCAATCTCTGAACGCCAGACTAGATTTAGGCCGGGCATGTCCTCCTACAGGGGCATTTTGGGCGAGACATAGGAAAGGAACTGGTCAAACAGATTTGGAAGCGGTCAAGAATAGGAAAAACATCGTCCCAGACTATTCCTCACATGCCCGACTTAGGACTAAACCCGCCGCGCACACGCCGTCACCGACGAGCGGGCCTGCGGCGGGGGCAGGCCGACTGCGGGCCTTACCGCGGCGGCGGTAGGTCCCGGAGGCCCTGGGGGTCTCCGGCGCCTCGACGGGCGTTGCGCAGTGGGGGAGGGGGGGCGATGAGTGACGCGAAGCCAGGGCGAGGACAGAATCGGGTGAGGACAAATCGACAACCTCTGGGATCCGGCGGCTCTGGAGGCTGTCTCGGGTGCCGCGGCCTTCCCAGAGCGTTCCGGAACGCTCAAAGCTCTGGAACGGATTTATCTGGGGAAACCAAAAGGTACCGATACCGCTACTCCCCGGACCTCTCCTCGGGTGCGTTCTGACTGAGATTTCGAGGCGAATCCAGCGGTGGCGACGATGGCCGCCTAGGAGGCCCCAAAAAGGGAAAACGGTCGGGGGGGTAGAGGTATGGGTATCTGTTCCTCCTCTGATTATCCTCGTCCTGGCCCCTTTTCGGTATCGCGGGGGCGATCAGTGGGGAGCCTCGAGCACCGCCGCCGATGTGCACGCGCACCTGCCCGCGAGGGCGGCCGGGCGCGATGATATCAGAAGCTCGCTTGTCCTTCGGTCTGGGTCGGGGGCTGCGGCTCGCAGGCCGGAGGAAAATCTAAGAGGGATGCGCAGACAACGCCTCCGCATGAGGATGGGGGGGAGAAGTCTACACCCTCCGTGCCCCTGTTGGGCCCCAAGTAGGGCCCCTTTCCGAGGCACAAGAGGCGCCCTTGTCTGCACCCGCCCAAACTTCTCGCCCCTCCACCAACGCAACGCCCAGGCCTCGACGAGGATCTCAGCGTCCGGAGGCATTTGGACGAAGCGCATGGCGGGCGCGCTGACGAAAGAGTCGCCCAGGCCGCACACCTGACGGATAGGAGGGGGCGGGTGGAGGGGGGACTGCGCCCACGAGGTGTGAGTATGTCGACAGGCTATATGGGGGGTTGGGACCCAAGCAGTCTTGTATTGTGACGCTTTTCCTTCGACCTAATTCCGATTCCGATTCTGATTCCTCCTCCTCCTCCTCCTCCTCCTCCTCCTCGAGAGGGGGGAGATTTCCCTCAGATCCGGGCGTTGCAACTCTTGCACACCGACCGTTTTCGCCCAGCTCCTGGCCCGGGGCCATCATAGATCGATCCGGCGCGAACAGTGCAGAAGAAAGACAGGGTCTATGGCTCTGGTCGTACTGGTTCGCGATGCTGATGAGCTTCCTCGCGACGCCGGATCTCAGGGGAGGAGGGGAAGAAGCGAGATGCGCTCGCGCCATGCCTGTCGTCCAGCTCTCTATCACCACTCCCTTCCCGCGGCGCTGGCTTCGTTCTATCCGCCGCGACTAGGGAATCCCCTGGCGGGCCGTGCTCCTCCCAATGGCCCCATCGTGCGGTGCGCAGTCAGAAGCGGGGGGGGGGGAGCAGGAGGCGAAAGAGGGGAAGAAAGATAGGAGGGGGAGGAGGGAAAGAGGAGGAGAGGAAGGGGAGGGGAGGAACAGGGGAGGGGGGACGAGAGAGAAGTGGCAGCAGAGAGCTGGGAGAAGGAAGGGGACCCATATCCCCAACGTCGTGATTTTCCCACAACGTCGACCCCCAGAGGTCTGGACCCCTCCCTTTGGAAAGGTCTTTCATTCTGAATCGGTTTACTGACAGTCCCGAGGCCCGGTGAAGGCCCCCTGAGGCCGAAAATAGCGAAAAGCCTCCCGTCGTAATTTGTTGAAAACGCGAGGGGTTCTTGGGAGGGGCGGGGAGGGGGAAGAGATGAGGCGGCTATAGCAGAGCAGGCAAGGGCAGCGGGAGCAACATCGGGGGCGCTCCAGGGCGGGACTGGGGAGGGGCCTGGGAGGAGGATCAGCGGGGCGAGGAGCAAGATAGGAGGAGGACGATGAGCAGGAGAGCGAGGAGGGGGGGAGGGAGGAGGAGGATATTCAGGAGAAGGAGGAGAAAGAGGGGGACCAGTGTAAACCCAAGAATCATTAACGAAGTTGGAATAAACCCTCCATCCAAGCTCCCTCTTCATAGGCCCCTAGAAGGGTTGATTTCCGCTGAGGGAACTGCTTCGTTGGAAGACAACCCTTTGAAGACCCTGACGCATGCCAAACCATCGTTCTCGAGATTCCAACGCCACGGATCAACCTGACTGTTGTGTCTTGACGATCCTGAATCGTCCCAGAACGCCATTCTTGGGACGTCAACGCGCCCTCAGTATCCTGAATCATTCGAAAAATTATCCTGGCAAAAGACCCAACCATAAGCAATTGTTGGTAACGCGTTGTGGGTGCCGCTTTCGGTGGGGCTCCATATGGGGCCACGAAGCGCTGCCTTGGATGGGGGAACCGCATGCGGACTGCGCCGCCGGGGCGGGCCTTCGGTGGAGCTCCCAATGGGGCTACGAAACGCTGCCCTGGGTGGGGGAACCGCATGCGAACTGCGCCACTGGGGCCTTCGGTGGAGCTCCCTATGGTGCCACGAAACGCTGCCCTGGGTGGGGGAAACGCATGCGAACTGCGCCACGGGGGCTTTCGGTGGAGCTCCCCATGGGGCCACGAAGCGCTGCCCTGGGTGGGGGAAACGCATGCGAGAGCAGCCACTGGGGCCTTCGGTGGAGCTCCCTATGGGGCCACGAAACGCTGCCCTGGGTGGGGGAACCGCATGCGAGAGCAGCCACTGGGGCCTTCGGTGGAGCCCCCTATGGGGCCACGAAGCGCTGCCCTGGGGGGGGGAACCGCATGCGAACACCCCCACTGGGGCCTTCGGTGGAGCTCCCTATGGGGCTACGAAACGCTGCCCTGGGTGGGGGAACCGCATGCTAACACCCCCACTGGGGCCTTCGGTGGAGCTCCCTATGGGGCCACGAAACGCTGCCCTGGGTGGGGGAACCGCATGCGAACACCCCCACTGGGCCTTCGGTGGAGCTCCCTATGGGGCTACGAAACGCTGCCCTGGGTGGGGGAACCGCATGCGAACACCCCCACTGGGGCCTTCGGTGGAGCTCCCTATGGGGCCACGAAACGCTGCCCTGGGTGAAGGAATCGCATGCGAAGACCCCCACTGGGGCCTTCGGTGGAACTCCCTATGGGGCTACGAAACGCTGCCCTGGGTGGGGGAACCGCATGCGAACACCCCCACTGGGGCCTTCATGTGGAAGCTCCCTATGGGCCACGAAACCGCTGTCCTGGGTGGGGGGAAAACCGCATGCGCACACCACCACTGGGGCCTCGGTGGAGCTCCCTATGGGGCTACGAAAACGCTGCCCTGGTGGGGAACCGCCTGCGAAACCCCCAATGGGCCTTCGTGGAGCTACATATGGGGGACACAGAAACGCTGCCCTGGGTGGGGGAACCGCATGCGAACCACCCCCACGGGCCTTCGTGGGAGCTTCCCTATGGGGCTACGAAACGCTGGCCCTGGGTGGGGAAACACGCCATGCGAAACACCCAAACTGGGGCCTTCGGGGCGGAGCTCCTATGGGGCACGAAACGCTGCCCTGGGTGGGGGAACGCATGCGAACACCCCCACTGGGGCCTTCGGTGGAGCTCCCTATGGGGCTACGAAACGCTGCCCTGGGTGGGGGAACCGCATGCGAACACCCCCACTGGGGCCTTCGGTGGAGCTCCCTATGGGGCCACGAAACGCTGACCTGGGTGGGGGAACCGCATGCGAACACCCCCACTGGGGCCTTCGGTGGAGCTCCCTATGGGGCTACGAAACGCTGCCCTGGGTGGGGGGACCGCATGCGAACACCCCCACTGGGGCCTTCGGTGGAGCTCCCTATGGGGCCACGAAACGCTGCCCTGGGTGGGGGAACCGCATGCAAACACCCCCACTGGGGCCTTCGGTGGAGCTCCCTATATGGGGCCACGAAACGCTGCCCTGGGTGGGGGAACCGCATGTGGACACCCCCACTGGGGCCTTCGGTGGAGCTCCCTATGGGGCCACGAAACGCTGCCCTGGGTGGGGGAACGCATGCGAACTGCCCACCGGGCCTTCGGTGGAGCTCCCTATGGGGCCACGAACGCAGCCCTGGGTGGGGAACCGCATGCGAACACCCCGGGGAGGAGGGAGGAGGAGGGGGAGGAAGGAGGGGAACGCGGGGCACCGTCTCTTCAAAACGAGGACCCAACACCACAGGATGGTTGGGAAAAACACCATTTCTGGTACGCTGATCATGGGAAGCAGTGAAACTCTTGCAAATAGTTAAAAAGAATCTGCGCGGCGCTGATGCGAGAGTGTTGAAAAGGAGCCGCCCTGAATCCGTGAAATTCTTGCAATGTTTCAAAACGAGTGTACGCGGCGCAAAAACGAGAGTCACATTTAAAAACCCACCCGCCCTCCATTTGTGAAACTGTTGTCAATGTTCGAGCTTCAAGGTCATAAATCGTGAGGAAGTCTCAGGCGAAACGCCCGCACCGTTCTCAGAACTGGTCTCGGGGTGCGACGGGGAGAAGTGATGTATTATAACGGCAAAGCATGGACGAGGGGGAGGAGGAGGAGGAGGAGGGGAGGAGGGAGGAGGAGAGAGGAGGAGGAGGAGGAGGATGAGGAGGAGGAGGAGGAGGAGGGGTGTAAAAAGGACAGAGGAGGAGGAGAGAGGAGGCGAAGGAGGAGCCGAGCGTTCCCTGCAAGCCTCGCTCTGCCCCAGGCCCCCACGCAGACGCCGAGGAGCCTCGCTCTCCGATCCCCCCCCCCATCCCACGGCAGCCGCGCATCCCCCTCGCTCCTTCTCCTCCTCCACCTGGGTGACCCCTGGAGCGCCGCTCCAGGGGCCACTGCGCGCACGTACTTTTCACGTTTGACAAATAAATGGACGGATGCAGACAGACAGACAGACAGACAGACAGACAGACAGACAGACAGACAGACAGACAGACAGACAGACAGACAGACAGACAGACAGACAGACAGACAGACAGACAGACAGACACACAGACAAACAGACAGGCAGACAGACAGACAGAGAGGGAGGAGCAGATAAGGAGACGAAGGGAACCTCACAACATAGAAAGGGAGGGAGGAAGTAGGCTAGGTGGCGCAGTTGAGGCCCCCCTCCCGCTCCTCCTCGTCCTCTTCTTTGGAGGCCTCCCGACAAGGGAGCCAGAGCGGATGGGGTCGGAAGATCGCACCGCATCGCCGATGGTGGTCGGACGATCGCGCCGCACTGCGACTGCACAGGCGGCCTCGAGACGGAGAGAACCCGATCCTGGACCGCACCGCGTCGCCTATGCATCGGCGATGCGGCGCGGCCCTCCCTCCCCATCTAAGTACGCAGTCCAGCCTCAATTCTGGGAGGCCTGGGCGGCCCCCCCTCCACCCAGGAGGATGGGGACAGAAGAAACAACAGCTGCAACAACATACACGCTTGGAGCTCCGCGCGAATTTCGTGGATCGGCGCTGAACCCCGCTTCCTGGCGTGCTCTGCGCGCCAGGGGCGGTGCCGCCAGGGGGGCCCAGCGCAGATCAAAAAAGAAATTCGCGCGGAGCTCGGAAAGCTCATGTTTCTGTGTTCTGTTACGTTCTCTTGTTGCCTCGAGAAAGTAATCATGTTGACAGCGTCGACCCCCAGAAGTCTCGACCCCTTCCCAGGACCGGCTTTTCGTCCTGGGCAGTTTTCCGACGGTCCTGGGGCCCTGCGAGGGCCCCCAGAAGCCACCAAACTTGTCAAAACCCTCCCGCAACGAAGAAAACGACGCCGTGATTTTGTTTCGCAGCGCGAGGCGGGGCTCTGGGACGGTGAGCGTCGGGATGGGGATGGGGATGCGGATCGGTTGCACGGCACTGACGAGGGTCCCCAGAGGTGGTGGGCCAATTTTCCACCACCAATATATACCATAACCCCAACGGGGGGGAGGGGTTACTCCTCCTCCTCCTCCTCCTCCTCCTCCTCCTCCTCCTCCTCCTCCTTCTTCCTCCGCACCAGCGAGCGATGTTCGTAGCGTCCTCATGCTACTGCCGCGAGCAAGGTCGAGTGCCGCCGAAAGGCGGGTACCTCAAACAGTCCTCCTCCTCCTCCTCCTCCTTCCCTCCTTCCTCTCCTGATCCTCCTCCTCCTCCTCCTCCTCCTCCTCCTCCTCCTCCTTCCCCCTCCTTCCCTGCTTCCTCTCCCGCCCGTGGCTGTTGACGGGGGACCACCGGCCCCCCGAGAGGCCCAACGGCTGCGGAACAACACCCCTCCCCGCCGCGCTCCCCTCCCCGCCCCGCGCGGCGCCGCGCCTCCCAGCCGCCCACCTCCCACGGGTGCCGCGCGGCGGAGAGGCTCCGGGCCACGGCCTCCGGCGCGGCGCCCTCGGCGGCTTCGCCGGTCGTGAGCACCCAGGAGGCGCCCCAGGCCGCGCCGGGGGCGAACCTCTCGGGAGCGCCGAGGGGCACGCCGCCCTCGTCGTCTTCGGCCTCCCCGCTCCTGCTCTTTTCTCCTGCTCCTCCTCCTCCTCCTCCTCCTCCTCCTCCTCCTCCTCCTCCTCTCCTCCTCCTCCTCCTCCTCTTCCTCTCTTCCTCGCCACCCTCTCTCATCGTGTATACTTCGTCTCATCCTTCTCCTCATCGGTGCCATCACCACCGTCATCGCCGTCATCACCACCACCACCAACATCGCAACAACAAACATCCTCACCCTCCTCCTCCTCCTCCTCTCCTCCTCCTCCTCCGCCTCCTCTCCGCATCTCATCAGCGTCCTCCTCCTCCTCCTCCCTCCTCCTCTCTCCTCCTTCATCATCATCATCATCATCATCATCATCATCATCATCATCATCATCATCATCATCATCATCATCATCATCATCATCATCATCATCATCATCATCATCATCATCATCATGATCATCATCATCATCAGCATCATCATCATCATCATCATCATCATCATCATCATCATCATCATCATCATCATCCCCATCCTCGTCCTGATCCCGATAACTTTCACGACCATCGCTATCTTCATCATCACCCTAATCACCACTAGCCTCGTCAATGCCATTGCCAACATTGTCAGCATCCTCATCATTGTCGTCATCACCATCATCGGCACCAGCAGCATCATCACTACCATCATCATTACCATCTTCATCACCGCCATCGCCATCACCATCACCATCGACATCGACATCATTCGCATCACCTGTAGTCGCCGTACCTCATGCAGTCCTCGGGCCCGTGCTGCCTGGCTAAATGTCGTTCCCCAGTCACCGGTTTGTCCGCCACAGACGCGCGGGGGGGTGCAGAGACCATCGGGCAACCGTTGTGGCTGCACCGCGCGGTTGCGGCCCCCCGCCAGAGCCCAACAACGTTCTGGTTGTCCTTAGTTTCTATCTGCCTGCCATACGCCACCGATAATCATCAGTTTCCACCTTGAAGTACCAGCGGCAGTGTGCAACGGCCAAGTCGCGGTTCAACTGTAGTCCTTTTCTCTTTCTCGGACCTTGTTTTCCACAAGCTGCATCATATCATACGTTTGGTTGTCATGCTAGTGGGTCGAGGAACCACCTCTGCTGGACTGGTGTCTCGCTAGCCGTGGGCCGTATGCTGAGTCTCTCCGCTTCGTGCGGTGCAAGATGTTGCCGCAGTCGTAAGTGGCACGACCATCGCCAATCGGGCCAAATGGGGTAAACTGCGCGGCAAACCCCTGGCCGCCGCCGGCGACGTGACGTTCAACGCGAGTCCAACAACATTGCGTGATAACCCGCGTGGTTCCTTGCCGCGCAGTGACGCGAAGTCCTCTGGTGACCAGCACTATTATCATGTTGATTGGGTGTTCTGGTGTCGGGGGCACCCTGCTCCTGCTCCTTTGACGTGCTCTTCCGCGCGGAGCGTTCCCTGGAGTTGTTCGTGGACAGGGTCATCGCGCAGCGCTTCCACTGCGGTCTCCTTCAATAAGACGATAGCGGAGGCCTTCTCCTCGAGGGCGCTCGTGGAGGTGATGTGTTTAATCAGTATGGTTCTTATTAGTCTTCTTCTTTTTCGCCACGTTTTGCTCACAGAGGCCTCGTCGGAAGGTGCTCGTGGAGGTCTTCGTCAGCAAGCTGTTTTCGAAGGCCTTCTCTGGGATGGTGCGCGTGGAGGTTTTCTGCGCGCTGGTGCTCGTAGAGGCCTTCTTCGGAGGGTGATCGCCGAGGTCTTCTTCATGGACGTCCTCGTGGAGGTCCTCTCTGGAAGGGTGCTCACGGATGTCTTGTTCATTCCCGCGCTCGTAGAGGCCTTCTTCGGAGGGTGTTCGTGAAGATCTTGTTCCTGACGGTGTTCGCGGAGGCTTTCTCCAGGAGGTTGACCGTGGAGGTTTTAGTTTTGTGCTGATGCTCGCGAAGGCCTTCTTCGGAGTATCATCGCAAAGGTCTTTTTCATGGATGTCCTCGTGGGGCGGGATGGTGCTCGCAAAGGTCTTCTTCACCCTCGTTCGCGGAGGCCTTCTTCCGTGCGGTCTTGGAGGTCCTCGCGGATGTGCTCGCGGAGGCACTTTCTGGGAGGATGCTCGTGGATGTCTTTTTCGTGCCAGTGCTCTTGAAGGTATATTTTTCTGATTTTTCGTGGATGTATTCCTCATCTGCGTGCTCGTGGAGGCCTGCTCCGAGAGGCTGCTCGCGGATTTCCTCACGCTGGCGTTCGTGGAGGCCGTCTCCGGGAAAATGCTCGCGGAGGCCTCTTCCGTGCTGGTGCCCGTGGAGATGTACCTCGTGGGGCTCGTGGAACTTATCGTCATTACGCTTGGCGCTGCTCCGTGGTCCTATCGCTGATGCTGGAGTCCTTCCTTGGCTGGGTGATGGCGGTCTGTGGGTCATAATCTCTGTAGTCGCCGCGCCTCGTCCACTCCTCGGGCACGTCCTGCCTGGCTGGAGTCGCTCTCAGGTCATGGGTGACCGTCACACCCGCGCGGCGGGGTGCAGATACAAGAGGGTGTGTCGGACCATCGAGCAACCGTTGCGGCTGCACCACGCGGTTGCGGCTCCCCGACAGAGCCCACGAACGCGCTGGTTCTCCTGACCTCCCACATGCCTGCAATGCGCCACCGAGAGTCATCATGGTGATCAGCATGGCACGTCATGGCATCGGCCCGCGCGACACACTGCCCGATCACGCCCTTCAAGTGGGCACACCGCAGCTGACCATGACTCCACTCAGGAACAATGCTGCTTCCAGTTGAGCAGGGGCCAACAGTTCCGACACCCCTATAGGCCTACCACGAATTTTTCTTAGCTAAGAACATTTCGTTGTAGGCCTAGGCTACATGTTTGGGTTCTGAGCTTAGAACCCAAACATGTACAAAGAACCAACACAATGTCCTTAGAACATAAGCCCGATGTCTTAAAAACAAGACAGTCTCAGCCAGAAGTGCTCTAAGAGCATTTCGTGGCAACCACGAAAAAGGTTCTTAGAACATTGTTTGGTAGGCCTCGGGGCGAGCCCAGACGCTTCGCCACTTTTGCTTACAATCATCGTGCTACTGCAGCCAGCGAGCCCTGGCCACGAACGGGCCCGTCGAGCCGAGTCGAGGAGTGGCCCCCAAGAAGCAAAACTAATTGTCCTTACCGTAGGCGCCTTTCCGCTTTCGGACAACGCTGTCCTGCACACCTGCACACCTGCACACCTGGGAGCCTCGACGTCCAGGCCGACAAGCTGTGCTTCGAAGCCGAGCAGGACTGATCTCGCGCGTGGCCGCGGCGCTCGGTCTCTCCGCCCCGTGGCCGCGCGCGCTAGCGAGCGTCGCAGTTGGGCGCGGGCCGCTGGGACGAGGGCCATCGTCTCGGCCTGCGTGAGGGCTCGCCCTGTTGGGGCCCTCCAGGCTCGGGCGGCAGGCCGAGTAAATGAGGACAAAACGCAACAGGAATCTCGAAACGGGTTGGGCGGTCTCGACATTCTCGGTCTGCTCGAGACCCGCGAAGCTCGAGCAGGACCTCCTCCAGACCCTGTGCATCACATCGAAGCGCGGGCGGGCCAACCACCGTCTCACCGCTTCGCGCGCCGACAGACCGTTCCCGTGGCTCGACGCATTTCTCGAATTTGGCTGCCAGGCACTACCGTTTACGCGCGCTGCGCGAGCAGCGCGGCAAATTCACGAAGGCCAGATTCCCCGCGGCCCTCGAGTACGGGCTCGCATCCTCTGCGGCCCTCGAGTACGGGCTCGCGCAAAGGCTGCGCGTCTCTCCATGGGCGGCACGGTCGCGGGTGCCAACGACGGTGCCGCCGTGCCAAGCGACGGCGGGAGACCATCGGGGACCTACTGACCCCGGTCAATCCAGACCCGGGTCAGCCAGGCTAGGCAAGATCCTGCGCAATCCTGCAGGATCCTGCACCCGAGCCCGGGTCAGTGCACCCCTTGCGAGGCGGGGATTTATCCATATCCACCGCCTGGGAACCGATGTCCTGGTGCCCCAGCGGGCGGTGGATATGGATATATTTCGGCCCCCAGGGGCCCGAATATGTCCACATCCACCGCCTGCCGAGGCTCCGAAAACTGACCCTCCAGGCGGTGGGTATGGATAAATTCCTGCCTCGGACCCCTGGCCCTGCGGGATCCTGCACGCTCCGGCGCTTCGACCGACCCCGCTCTGCACCGACCCCTGTCTCGCGAGCCCTGAGACAGGGGCGAGAAGGTCCCGCCGGCCAGCGCGGAGGCCTCCCCTGCTCCACTGCAGGGCACGGCTATGTTCAGGTGGGGCATGTCCTCCAGCAGGCGGATCCTGGGCGAAAAATAGAAAATAGTCAAGACATATTCAAACATGCCTAAACAATGGTCGAACAATCATCCCCAGACTACGTTTTGACTTTATTGAATATTCCTCCTGTGGAGGGACAGGCCCGACTTAAGGCTAGGCGCAGTCTTGGGCTGTCTTCGACGCTCGTGGCCCGTCTGGAGGCCATCTCAGTGCGCTCTGCAGGCATCTTCCAGACAACCTGGGGCGCTTTGGGAGCCTCTTGGGCCAGCTTGGGGGCCTCTGCGGGGGGGTCCGGGGCCCCTTCTGGGCCCTCCTGGAGCCCTCAAGGCCCCCCCAGACCCCCATGCAAACCAGTGGTCGCAGTTCCGGGCCCTCCCACAGCCCGCTCCGACGTATGTATGTGTATACATATACATAACATCTATAATTCGATATATCTGTATATATATATATATGTATGCACAGATATCTATAGAGATATACCCAGGGATATACATATTGTCGCCAGCGGCGAGGTAGGCTTCAGCTTCCTGCAGGAGGCCTGGCGGCGGGAGGGCGCGCGCCTGTCTGGGCTGCAGGCGCCTCTCGGGGCCGGGGCCAAGCGCCCGCGGGGGCGATGCTCACGTCGGCCAAGGAGCTCGGCTGAGCGTCACCACCGGCTTTCACGCGGCAGGCCAGAATAGAAGCCAGAAGATCCACCACCACAAGAACCACCCCGACACGCGAAGTCGTTTAGCAAACGCGCCCAAAGAAGGGATCAAACAGGGCAGGGCTGTTCAGTAGACGCCCACAGGGCTGGTTAGTCAACGCCAATTGTCGGGTCCGGGTGGTTTTTGTCCTCCCTTGACAGAAAGGGCGAGGCTTTGGGCTTTCAGGACGGCAGGCGCCTTCGACGGCGCGAGATCTGGCGAGCAAGGACGGCATCGACGTCATGCGGGGCAGCTGGGCAGCTGGCTCGGAAGCCGCACCCAGATGGCCTGGGCGGCAACGCCATGCTGGCGCACCGCGACGTCGCTCATGCTGCACCTCGACGGAAGGACAAGAAGACATGACACCTCAGCCCTCCTGGCGGCGGAAGCTCTCAAGTCGATCTACATCGGAGGTCACCCGTCACCCGTCGCAGCTCCGCCTCCCTGGGGGGGCAGGCTACTACCCGACGGACCAGGTGCGAAAGGCGTGCTGCCACAAGACTGGCTCCATCCACCACAGGTGCCTGAGCCTATCCCCCACCCCAAACGTTGCCCCTGTCATCACTCGGCTCTCCGGCTGCCCATCGGGACGATCCGGGCACCCCCGGAACGGTCTCGGAGACGCAGCTGCTGGAGAGCATCCCGAGGCTGGAAAGCCGCCGAGAAGCGACGAAAGCGTCCGAAAACCCCGAGCCTCGAGACTCCGAAGGCAACCCGAGCGTGAGCTGGCGGCCTCGGCGGAGCACCGCACGCTGGCGGCCGGTGGCGAGGCGAACAGCACGCTGCGGCCGCGTGGCCGCCCTCCGTCGCAGCGCACAGCCGGCGCGGCCGCCGCGGGGCGGATCGGGCTGTTGGCGCGCCGCCGGTGGGGAGACCACAAGGCACCGATACCGCTCCTCCCCAGACCTCTCCCGGGGTGCGTCCTGACCAGGAGTTTCAAGGCGAATATCCAGCGGCGGCGACGAGGGCCTCCGAGGAGGCCCAGAGAGGGGAGAACGGGGGAGGGGTAGAGGCATGGGTGCCTCTTCCTCCTCTGAACCATGGGCCTCCTGGCAGGGCGTCCTCGTCACTGCACAGGGTCCCACGGCGATGGCTCCGCGAGGCGCCCCTCTCGGTGGCGACGAGCGCGGGGCGAGGCCCCGTCATCCTGCACGGCCGAAGGGTCGCTCCCTGGTGCAGTATACAATCAACCGGTATCATAAGGATGCGCGGTAAGGATGCAAGGGCCATGGGCGCCCATGTCGAAACTTTGCGAGCGGGGCGCGGCCAACGAAAGCGGCCAAGGACCGACCGAGGAGGCAAGGATGCAAGTGTACCCTTGGGGAGGTTGCCCATCCTCACTATGCGGGTTGACTGTACCGGAGTGGGACAACGGGTGAGGAGGATACGTACTCTGAAAATTCTCGCCTGAGCCACCCCACTGCTTTTGAGCCCAACCTGCAACACGGTGGGCCCGAAAGTGCTTCTCGCGCGCCCATTGCCTCCAGGTTCACCCTGCTCCCACCTCCTCCTAATCCTCCCCCACCTCCTCGTCATGCTCATCCTCACCATCCCCCTCCTCACCCCTCCAATATCCTCCTCCTCCTCCTCCTGCTCCTCCTCCTCATCCTCCTCCTCCTCCTGCCCATCCTCCCCCACCTCCTCCTCCTCCTCCTCCTCCTCCTCCTCCTCCTCCTCCTCCTCCTCCTCCTCCTCCTCTTCCTCCTCCTGCTCCTGCTCCTGCTCCTGCTCCTGCTCCTCCTCCTCCTCCTCCTCCTCCTCCTCCTCCTCCTCCTCCTCCTTCCCCTCCGCCTCCTCACTGCTTCAGCCCGGTTTTCGCCTCGCCACCTCGCCTCCTGCTCTGCTTGTGGCCTGCGGATGTCCTCCATACCGCCCGTTCTTCGCGCGGGCTTCGTCGTTTTCGGCTTCCTCTTTGGGGGAAACTAACAGGTACCAATACCGCTACTCCCCGGACCTCTCCCGAGGTGCGGTCTGCCCAGAATTTCGAGGCGAATCCAGCGGTGGCGACGAGGGCCCCCCAGGAGGCCCAAGAAGGGTAAGCCGAGGCATATGGGCACCTTTTCCTCCTCTGATCTCTACCCCGGAACATAGCTCCGGAGGTCTCCCGATGTCCCGAGAGGTCTCTGCGAGGGCTGCGCAGCTTACGCATCGGCGGTGGACAAACCTCCCTTTCGTAAACCACCCTGTAGTGACAACGGCCTGGGACCGAAACAGACGGACCTGGACCCGCAAAAATGACGGCCGCGACGCCCTCTCTGACTACCTACCAGACCACCCCAACCCAACCCGAAGACCCGAATTTCGGGTTGGGGGGGGTATGGGCTCCATATGTGTTTTTTCGATGTTCCCGGACCCCCCCCCACTAGAAATCGAGGGTAAATCTGAGCCTTCGGGTTGGGTTGGGGTGGTTTGGTGGGTGGTGACTCTCGCGAACCGAAAACTGAGCGAGCAACGACATATGTACATGTACGCCCTCCGCGATCTTGAATGCACGAACGTTCTCGTTCAAACGCCCTCCAGGGGAAGCTAACCGCGTACGTGTACATATGTTGCTGGCCTTTGAAAAACGGCCAATTTCTCAATCGACGTGTCGGGGCAGGAAGTCGATTCACCTCCGATTGCAGAAGTGGCCACGAGCAGGCACGGAGCCACGCTCCCCCCGACCGCCGCCCTGCTCCCTCCTCCCTCGCCCGTCCTCCCTCCGGGATGGGCCCGCGGAGGGCCTCGGGAGCCCGAGGACCAGGACAACGCCGACGACGACGACCACGACCACGACCACGACGACGACAACGACGACGACGACGACGACGACGACGACGACGACGACGACGACGACGACGACGACGACGACGCGACGGGGCCTCTTTCTTTTCTTCCGCCCTCGCCCCCCCCCCCGCCCCCGCGGGAGCCACAGGCTGTTGCGGCACGAGATGCCCATCTGCCGGTAGCACGGCCTGCCCCCGACGGCCCCGATGTACTCGTAGGCGCCGTTGAGCGCCCTCGAGGCGATGGCCTCTCCGGGAGGGGGGGGGGGGCAGCGCTCTGCGAGAGCGGAACACAAGCCTTAAATCGGGCATGTCCTCCTGCAGGGGGGGATTTTGGACGAAAAATTGAAGATCGACCCCTCCAAAAAATACCCCAAAAAGGCAGCCAAAACACTCAAATACTACAAACACCGTCCACATACTATGTTTTGACTATCTTTGAGCACTCCTCCTGTAGAGGGACATGCCCGACTTACGGCAAGCCTTTTTAGAAGGCGGCGGGACTTGTTGGAAGCCCTCCAGCCTTCTGAGAAGCCGCCTCTGCCTTCGGAGAAGGCTTGGAGAACTGCTCCCCAGAAGGCCACAAAGGATCCCGAGCCTCTTGAACCGGCCCGCCCTCATCGGCAGTTCCCCCCCGGGCTCGCCGCCGATGTCCGACAGCTGCGGACGAGCTGGGACCCCTTGTGGGTTTTTGACAGCTTTGGGGGCCCTCCTTGGGGACACTTCCTGCATCTGGGCTGCCTCTCGGGGGACGGCCTGGGCGACCGGAGATTCCCCCCCTTCCCCCGAAAATCCGGAAGAGCGGAATGGGTGGAGGAGGAGGAGTACAAGGAGGAGGAGGATGATGAGGAGGAGGAGGAGGAAGGAGGAGGGAGGAGGGAAAAGGGAGGATCACCCATCCTTCGAAACAAGCGGACTCCACAGGGAAGGCGAAAATCCAACCCCACCGCCAGTCCCGCCCCCATCCCCGAACCCGCGATTCACGGGGTCGGGAATGGAGGTGGGGCTGGTCCTTCGGGGTCCAGAGATACAGGAAACGCCCCAAACCCCAGCCCGGATCCCCTGGATCGTCAGCTCGGGGATGGGAGTCGGGACTGGGGGAAGAGGGGGGCGTTCGTTTTTTGAGTAACGCGGAGCATGTCGACTCTTATTCCAGACTTCGTAGGGTTTTCGAACGGGCCAACAATTGTGGGCCCAACTCGGTGATGTTCGGCACGGGGGCGACTATCCTCGACAGGGGTGCGTCCGAGTAGCCCACCTGTGAGTGTATCCCCATGCTCCCCCTTTTTTTTCTGAGCGTTGGGAAAGACATCGCTTGCCAGGGTAGGCGTTGTCTTTGTCAGCGGCGACTGGGAACCAAAACGCGGTCGGGGCAGCCAAAGGACGCCTCGGGCCAAACTAGGCACCACAGGAAAGGGAAATGCGCGGAACTGGTGGAGGAACCGCTCAGACCGTGAAAGTCTCGTACGCGCGTGCCGGAGCACAGGCCTACACGGGCAACAAGCGGGAATGTCGAGGCAGACCTTTTCGGGCCACGGCGCGGCAAGCACAGGCGATGCTGGGGTCTCAACAGATGGGCAGGCACAGGACAAATAGGAAGGCGCTGCAAGTATATTAGGTTGCTGACCGATCCTGGAAAAGGGAACGAATCTGATAACAACAGTTTGTGAAAAATGAGGGCGCCAGGCGTAGACAGGAATGTGTGAACTTGACCATACAAGCTATCAGCGAACGAATGGTAAAAAAGGAGGGTGGGTGATGTTGGCCTCCGCGCGACTCCCCTTTCTTCATCTTCTCCTCCTCCTCATCCTCCTCCTTCCGTCTTTAATTGTTGGCGCTGCCCCGCAATGTACGGAACAGAGCACGTGTCCGGACTCAAGATCCGCCTCATCATGTTCCTCCGCTTCTTCTCCTTCGTCGTCCTCCTCAACATCCTCGTTATCAACATCATCACCATCATCCTCTACCTCCTTACCCTCATCCGTCCTAGTCCTCGTCAGAATAACTCCTATTCTTCCTTATCCTCATACGATCGCCAAATACAAAATCAACATCATCATCACCACGATAAGCCTCTCATCGGCATTATCATATGCGGAAGCATGCGCCTCCACACCACCATCTTCAATATCATCACCATCATTCTATTCCTCTGTCGCATCACCGTTGCCATCACCACCGTCATCACCGAAGATTCGTGCCCCGGATGCGGTCCTCCTCGTCAACGCTTTGGGTTTCTACATCCGCCGTGTCACTGTAATGCTCGCGGCACCCGGTTACACGGATGCTCTACGTACGTCGTGTGGTGACTGTACTGAGCACCGCCATGTGCACTAGAAGAATGCGCATCAGGCTCCCGTGTTGCCCGGCTGGCGGGTCTGACTAGGTATGCCGAAGGGTCGGGTCCCGAGGTGCGATGCCTCGGAGCGATGGCGTCCCACTCGTCATGCCCTCCGTTGCATCACCTCAGGGGGTGAGAGCACGGTTCCCGCGCTCCCCGCTACATCCCCGCTCGGCACCAGCGACGCAGTCGCCAGATGCCTCTTCTCTGATTGTTTCTCCTGGGGCTCGCGAGACACAGTCCCAAGAAGCTCGGGACCTCGTCCTGACACCACAAATGTGAACGCTGTGTCGAGCAATTCTCTAAAACCTGTGGCTAAAACCCCGCGGGCCGGGGCACTGACAGGTTGGGGTCCGCGAGCTGCCTGGACGCAGTCCGAACATGCCCGGGACGGGTCGCAGAGCGGTTTTCGTAGGTCTCGGTGGTGTTGTCCTTGATGAAATACTGCTGGTCGCACATGCTCCCATTTGCAGGTCCTGGCGGATGGGCTGGAACAGCCCCGACGGACCGTGTAGTAACGTTGCCAAACGGAGAGAACGGGAGGAAGTACACGTAGGCAGGGATGTTGAAGGGGATTGACCGAAGTCGAAGGCGGCGGAGTGTGGAAGCCATTGCGGTCGATCCGAGGCGAAGCATGGCGACCGTGGTGGGTACAGGGGCGAACCTGCTCCGCTACCCACTAGAAATGAGGATGTAGGGAGTAGTGTGGAAATGCGATTGCCTTTCCTGAAGGTGGAACGTACAATTAAATGCGTGCACGCTTGAATGGCGGGCACGGGAGCACTGCAGACTGCCGGCTCCCGCACCCCCCCGGCCGAAAAGACAGCGGACAGGCTGGGTGAGAAACAAGCAATGCAGCAGGATGGGGGACAGACCTACGGTTGAATGCGACGACGACGAGGAAGACGAGGAGGAGGAGGACGAAGATTGGGACGACGACGGCGAGGAGGACGAGGCGGAGAAGGTCGACGGGGAGGAGGAGGAGGAGGAGGAGGAGGAGGAGGAGGAGGAGGAGGAGGACGACGAAAACGAGAATGAGGACGAGAACGACGACGATCGGCTACGACGACGAGAAGGGCGACGACGACCTGGAGGACGGCGACGCTGGCGGCAGCGCCGACGACGGCGTCGACGAGCGCCCGCGCGCCTCGACGCCCACACAGCGGAGTGTGGGAGGCATCGACATGGCCCTGGGCGCCTCAGCCCTGGGGGCAAACGGGATCCTGGGGAAAAAAAACGGGCCCTGGGCCCTGGGTGGGGTGGGGGGGGGGGGGCACACGCAAGAGTGACCCTAGGCAGGAGTGACCTTGTCAGAGCACGGATGGAAGGGGGCGCGAGGTGGCCAAACCCAAGCGCGCAGGCAGCCACTCTCGCATCGCGCTCAGCGATCGGGAGGACCCCGGTGAGCCCGCACCACAGGTCCCTCCGGCGAGGGGCCGCTCCCCGAGTGTAGCCGACCGTGGGGCCTTCCCCCCCATTCTGAGCCGCTTCCTGACAGCCCTGGGGGCCCATGCTGGCTGGGGGCCCCGAGAGCCCGAAGGCGGCGAAAAACCTCTGAGCATCGTTTATCCGATCCCTATCCCCACGGGCGTGGCCTGGGCCCCACTGGCCGATTTGCCCCCCCGAGATGGAGATACATGGGCCGCTCCCTTCGGGCTTCGAGGGGTGTCTCCCCAACTAGGGGTGTAATTTGGCGGGGGTCTCGAAGGGGATGGGGATGGGGATGGGGGTCGGTTCAACGATACTGAACATCAGGACCCGTTGCCCTCAGGACCCGCACCGCGGGGTACACGGGTCCTGAAGGGAAAGGGGTTCCGAGGCATCTCCCCGCCTGCGGGCTCCCCAGGGGCCCCCGTACGGGCCCCGGGGGACGTCGGACAACGACCGGGGATGAAGAGCTCGTGCCGGGGGGAGGCCCCACGGATGCCTCCTAGATCGGGTCCGAGCATCTGGGGGTCGGAGGATCGCGCCGCATCGCCAATGCAGCGCCGCTGCATCACCGAAGCATCGGCGATGCATCAGCGACGTCGGCGACGCATCGGCGCCGTCGGCGTTGGGAAACACGGTTTCCGCATCCAGCCGCATCGTCGATGCTATGCGGCGCGGTCCTCCGGCCCCATCTACTCGGCTCCCATCCCTGGGATTCGGCGTTGCAAACACATTGCAACATTTCAGGAAATCACGACCGGAGCCCCAGACCCTATCTTTATGCCGCGCTCGAGCTGGATCGATGTGTGAGGGTCCAGGGTCCCGCAATGAAGCGAAAACGCCTCTTATGTCATGTTGTTCCCATCGTGATTAAGGACCACATCCCAGAAATAAGTTTGAGCCCACAGAAAAAGTACCGCAACACTGTCGAACGAATATCGCCTCCCAGGGCCCGACACGTAAAGACCCTCAAGATTCGGTACTTTCTTGGTGCTCGAAAAGCTTTGTGGTGACCAAGGCTAAAAAAGGTTGGAACAACATACTTCTTGGGCAATGCCTGCAACGCCTGGATCGCAAGGCTCGGGGAGGCCTAAGTCCCCAGGGTCCGGGACCTGTTTCCCCCAGGACCTAGAGGGCCGATTTTCCGCCACCGCAGCCATAGGCAGGAGAGGGAGGATGAGGAGGAGGAGGAGGAGGAGGAGGAGGAGGAGGAGGGGGAGGAGGAGGAGGAGGAGAAACGGGAGGAGGAGGAGGAGGAGGAGGAGGAGGAGGAGGAGGAGGGAGGAGGAGGGGAGGGGAGGAGGGAGGGGGAGGGGGGGAGGGGCAAGCTAGGTGCGCTCGCGTAATATACGACGTCTTACCCATCCCTCCCATGCTTTACCATGGTGTAGATATCCTCTCTATATCCGCACAATCGGATGTCGAGCAGGGTCATGGTCGCGAGAGGGTACGCGATGCATAGTAGAGGACGGCATGGCATGGCGTAGAAGAGCACGGCATAACGTAGCATGCCATAGCATGGCGTGGCATTGCGCAGTGAAGCATTGCATCACAATTCATTGCAGTGCAAAGCATGGCATCGCACAGCGGCGCAGAACACAGCACCGCACAGCATGTCATGGCATGGCGCCAGGTTCTTTGGAGGGTGAATGGATCGTCTTCGAGAGGTCTGGGCTGGTCTGGAGACGTGGCTGCATGTCTAGCCCCTTGAGCTCCCTGAAACGCTCCACACAAGGCGGAGCTGATGGAGAGCAACCGCTGGCTCTGCTTCCAACATCGCCTTCTCAATGCAGAAAGGGGGCTCCCGCTTGATACTTCCTGAAAGCGACGACGCCCCAAAGTGTGGGGGGGCTTCTGCGGCCCAAAAAACAAACAAATCATTCACCGAATGTGAAATCACTTCCGATCGTTTTTCGGGGGGGGGGGCATGTTCTAGATGTTGAGGCCTCATTATTTGGAAAGAAGGCCGGCGCTGCAGCGGGAGCACGATCCGGAACGAGCGGAGGCGCGGAAATGAGGCAAGCGCTGCAGCGGAAGCACGACTCGGAACGAGCAGAAGCCCGAAAATGAGGTCAGCGCTTTAGCGGGAACAACATTTTGAAAACAAGCCCAAGCGAAAACCCGCTTCCCGGGAATCCTTTAAAAACAACACGCGACGGGGGGCCAGGTGTCTTCCGGACGTCATCAAGCAGGGGAGAGACGAGAGTAGTATTCATATTGTGACATTGTAGGAGGGAGGAGGAGGAGGAGGAGAGGAGGAGGAGGAGGAGGAGAGGGGAGGAGAGGAGGAGGAGCAAGAGGAGAGTAGGAGGAGGAGGAGGAGGAGAAGGAGGAGTAGGCGGAGGAGGGGGAGGAGGAGGAGGAGAGGAGGAGGAGGAGGAGGAGGAGGAGGAGGAGGAGGAGGAGGAGGAGGGGGAGGAGAGAGGAGGGGAGGAGGAGGAGGAGGAGGAGGAGGAGGAGGAGGAGGAGGAGGAGGAGGAGGAGAGGAGGACCTCCCCATCCTCCCGTCTCTCCCGCCCTACCTATGGTACTGGTGGTGGAAATCTGGCCCATCAGGACCTCGAGGCGGAAGCCGAGGCGGCAGCCGAGCCCCGAGGCGGCGGCCGAGCCCAATGGCGAACGCCCGAGGCGGCAGCCGAGCAGAGCCGCCCCGTGGGCGAACGGGCGCGGCGGGGCGCGGCGCGGCTGGCCCTGGGGGGGAAACGCCCGGGGGCCGAGGGCCGCGCCGCCTCGGGCCAGAGAGGCGGGCAGGAGGGAGGGAGGGGGAGGAGAGTGGAGGGGAGGAGGAGGAGGAGGAGGAGGAGGAGGAGGAGGAGGAGGAGGAGGAGGCGGAGGAGGGAGGAGGCGGAGGCGGAGGAGGAAGAGAGGAGAGAGGAAAAGGAAGAGGAGGAGGAAGAGGAGGAAGAGGAGGAGAAGGAGAAGGAGGGGGAGGGAGGGAGGGAGGGAGGGAGGGAGGGAGGCAAGGAGGGAGAGAGGGAGGGAGGTGGATGAGGGATGCTGATAATGATGAGGAGGAGGAGGAGCAGGAGGAGGAGGACGAGGAGTGGAAGGAGGGAGGGAGGAGAAGGAGGACGGATGGAGGGACCTACAGGTATTTGATACTGATGCCGGCGACCGACAGCTTGAGGAGCCCACGACGTCGTCAGCGCGAAGGCAAAAGTGGCACGCCGTGCACCACGCTACGCGCAGGGTGCGCCGCCCTCGGTCCCCCTCCCACTTGATCTGCTGAGTGGCGCGGCCGCTCCCCGACCTCACGATCCCTCCGCTCGGTTCAGGGCTACAGGGTGGAGGGTTGCCTCCCTCCGCCAGCTCCTCCGCCTCCTGCGCCTGCCCTCCGCCAGCTCCTGCGCCTCCTCCTCCTCCTCCTCCTCCTCCTCCTCCTCCCTCCTCCATTCCTTCTCCTTGTAAATAACTTCTCCCTATCGCACTCCGAGGCCAGAGCTTAGGGCGGGCCGGGCATTTCGCCTGAGACGTCCTCACCATGACCCTGAAGCTTAAAACATGACAACAACTTCACAGATGGAGGGCGGGTCGTTTTCAAAATGTGGCTCTCGCCTTAGCGCCGCGCACATTCGTTCTAACACATTCCAGAAGTTTGACGGATTGAGGGCGGGTGGTTTTCAAAATGTGGCTCTCGCCTTGGCGCCGCGCACATTGGTTTTAAAAACATCGCCAGAGTTTCACGTATTGAAGGCGGCTCCTTTTCAAAATGTAGCTCTCGCCCTTAGCGCGGCGCCTCGCCGCGCCTGTGCAACAGTTTCACGGATTCCCATGACCAACGAACCAGAAAGGATGTTTTGGAAGGATTCGACATTATGCGGGCGCAACTGTTATGTTGATTCGCGGTGCTGAAGTTCCCACAAGTGGTGTCGTGGCACGATTCGGGCTCGTCAAGACGCAGCAGTCAGGTTGATACGTGGCGTTGAAATCCCGAAACCAATGTGTTGATGTGCTTCAGGATCTTCAAACGGTTGCCATTTCCAACGAGGCAGTTCCCTCAATGGAAATGAACCGTTGTAGGAGCCTATGAAGAGGGAGCTTGGAGGGAGGCTTAAGTCCAAAATCGTTGATGATTTTTGGGTTTACACTGGTCCTCCTCCTCCTCCTCCTCCTCCTCCTCCTCCTCCTCATAATCATCATCATCAAACTCCTTCTCCTCCTCCTCCTCCTCCTCCTCCTCCTGCTCCTACTCCTCCTCCTCCTCCTCCCTCCCTCCCTCTACCGCCCGTCCCATGTCCCGAGTTTATATCAGGGTCATGAGCTGGTCGTTGTTGTCGTCGTCGTGGTCGTCGTCGTCGTCGCCGCCGCTGCAATCGTCGTCGTCGTAGTCGTCGTCGCCTCCGCCGTCGCCGTCGCCGTCGCCAGGACGACAGGCAGGAGGGAATGTCATGCTGCTGATGATGATGATGATGATGAGGAGGAGGAGGAGGAGGAGGAGGAGCAGCAGCAGGAGGAGGAAAGGGGGGGAGGCGGAGCAGGAGGCGGAGGAGGAGGATGAGGAGGAGGAGGAGGAGGCGGCGAGGAGGAGGAGGAGGCGGAGGGGGAGGAGGAGGAAGGAGGAGGAGGGGAGGAGGGAGGAGGAGGGAATGCGAGGGGCGCAGGCAACACAGAAGGGGGAAGGGGGGGGGGGCGGGGGGCACGGACAGACAGAGGGCACAGGCGGCAGCATTAGCAGCACGTCCTCCCCGCGGCAGTTTGCCTCGGAGGACCCACGAGAGGCCGCGTGGTGCAGCAGTGTTCATTTTTGCGCTGAGGTCACTGTGGGGAGGGGGGGACGGGGGCGAGGAGGAGGTGACAAGCAGATCCGCTGCTACTGACTGCCCGCATGTGCCCTCCTGCTTCTGCCCCTCGCGCCATCGCATCTCGCTGTCCTGGACGCATGCTGCCAAGTGCCTTCCATTGTTTCGCGATCTCTGCTCGCACCCAGGCTCAAGTAACACACAGCTGTACGGCTAACCCACAGGAGGAAGGAGGGAAAGAAAGAGGAGGGGAGAGGATGAGGTGGCGTTTTAGATGGGAAAGGGGGATGAGGAGATGCATGGGGCGCAGCCGGAAGATGGAAAGGAGGAGGACGGGAAGGAGGAGCAGAAGCAGGAGCGTCTGTTGTACCAGAGGGGCGGAGCTATATCCAACGGCTTCGTGCCAATTCGAGCCACACCCGAAGAGGACCATCTGACCTTGCCTGGCTGCGCGACGGACATGAGAAGCCCAGTGGAACAACGCACTCCGCAGAAAGGAAAGAAGGGGAAGGACGCTGAGACGGAGGGGGAGGGGGAAGACGGATCGATCGATCGAGCTCTCGGGCCAGTTGGGTGCTGCACTACTATCGACTAGTTCTGTATAGCAGTTGAAAGCAGCTTGGCCTAGCTGTGTTCACTTCGTGCCGAGGGGTTGCTGACGCTAGATGGTGATCGGGCCCTACCTGCACAAGTTCTCTCCACGCTGAGGACTGCACCCGCCCTTCCGGATGCCCTCTGGCCTGCTTTTCCTTCCCCTTCACCTGTTCCAAAAGAACAGGAGGAGGTTCACGGGGTCCTAGCCCCGGGGGCCTCCCCCCAGGACGAGTTCTTCATACTGGATCTTTCACTGACAGTGCCAGGGCCCGTGGAGGGTCCCAAGAGGCCGATAACGGCGAAAAACCTTAGGACTCCTTTCCCTGAGGACCCGTCTTCCCCACGGCGAAGAAAGAAGGAGGAGGTTCACTGCCCACAGAGGCAGGGGAAGGGAGGTCTGGGGAAGAGAGGAGGACAGGTTCAAAGTCTCCTCCTACTTCTCCACTACTCATCCACCTCCTACTCCTCCTCCTCCCCCTCCTCCTCCACCGCATGTTCCCCCTTCTCCTCCTCCTCCTCCTCCTCCTCCTCCTCCTCCTCCTCCTCGTCCTTCTCCTCATCCTCCTCATCCTCCTCCTTCTCCTCCTCCTCCTCCTTTTCGTCGTCCTCCTCCTCCTCCTCGTCCTACCTCCTCCTCCTCCCTCCTCCTCTCCTCTCCTCTCCCCTCCTCCTCCTCCTCTCTCCTCTGGAGAGGGGGAAGGGGGGAGAGGAGGAGGGGAGGAGGAGGAGGAGGAGGAGGAGGAGGAGGAGGAGAGGAGGAGGAGGAGGAGGAGGAGGAGGAGGTAGGACGAGGAGGAGGAGGGGGACGAGGAGGATGAGAAGACGTGGATGGGGGGGAGGGGCCGCCGTACGAGGAGGCATGTGTTTGGCTCCCCGGCGAAGGTGTGGGGGGGAGGAGCACGAAGGAGTCGAATCGTGCAACCACTCTACTATGGATCGAATGGATTAGCATCGGGCTGCTGTGGTATGAAACGAAGCGCGCGAGATGGAGCCGATGGGGACGACACGAGAAGGAGAAGGCGGGTGGGGTGGTGGGTGGGGGAGGGCGAAGGGGACGGGAGGGGGGGGGGGCGGGGGGTAGAAGGGAGGATAGGAGCGGGGAGGAGCAAATTCGAGTAGAGTGGCACCGACGACGATCGGAGAGGAGCGGCATGATGACGACGAGGACTGTGTGGAGGCACGGTCGCACGAGACGCGCGGCACGAGATGGCCCTGAGACCGAGTGCGGGCTCCGTGCGAACACTACAGACGCTCCTTCTCCTCTCCTCCTGCTCATTCTCCACCATCTCCTCCTCCTCCTCTTCCTCCTCTTCCTCCTCCTTCTCCTCCTCCTCCTCCTCCTCCTCCTCCTCTTCCTCCCCTTCACCCTTCTCCTCCTCCACCTCCTCCTCCACCTCCTCCTCCACCTTCTCGTCTCCCTCCACCTATTGGGGGGGTCGGGGAAGACCTCCAGAAGCCTCCTGGGAGGGAGGGGCAGGGGGGAAGTGGAGGGGAAGACGGGGAGAGAAAAGCAGAAGGAGGAGGCGGTGTTGGGTAAACGAGGAGTGGAAGGGAGGGAGGGCAAGGGAGGGACGCAAGGGGAGAGGTGGATAGGGGGCAGGGAGAGGTGGAGTGCGAGGGGAAGGGGGGAGGGGGGAGGCGGCGAAGGGTGGACGAGGAGGGGAAGGAAAGGAGCGCAGGTGACTGACGAGAGGGGAAGAGTAACGGCGGACCCCGCATAGGGCGTCGCGGCAGAACAACATACAATCGCGACGGACGCTCTGCCCCGTCTCGCGCCAAGAACCATCAGGTATCGACTCGGGAGAACCTGCGGAAACGTGGGGGCGGCAGGCCCCGTCCAGTTGTCTCGCGCACTTTTCGAAGGGGGCTGCGGAAAGCGAGAGCGGGCGAGGGCCAGGCGGGATGAGTGAGAGGGGAGGCCGACGACGCGGGGAGAGCCACGGTGTGAGCAGACGGGGGGGGACAGGGGATGCAGAGACGGGCAGG